GTAGAAGGATTAAACAGCACACTATACAACGCGGAGAGAATGTGAGTATTCCACATATATATATATATATATATATATATATATATATATATATATATATATATATATATATATATATATATACGCGTATCTCTACGCTCGCGTATATATACGCTCTGTATATATATATATATATATATATATATATATACAGTGTGTCCGGTTACCAGTGTCGGAGCTTTTAATGCTATAAAATATAATCAATTTCATCGACAAATCATGTCTCAAATCTCATTTAGACCTAGCTGTATTTAAATGGCAGCCATTTAAACTTTTAGTGTCACCTCACCACCTCGACCCCGCGCATTAAAATTACAATATTCACCGATGTAGAAGTCCTACATTCTTAAAAGATGTGTCATTGGATAGGTAAAGATACGCGTAATAAAATAAAAGCAAACTTTTAACTGCAAAATTGTATTTAGATCCCAAAAAGACTTAGAAAAGAAAAAAAGTGTAAAAAAAATCGGTTATTTTTTTACATTTTCCACTTTAATGAAAAAAGTAAGTCATTTACCTAATGATTTTTTACATTAATCAGATAGATCAGATAGAACATATCCTAACCAAAAACATAAAAATCTTAATTGTAACCAAAAAAAAAATCAGTATCATAACTGTTTGAATATGACCTTTGAAAAATTTGTCGCCCTGGTTGCAGACAGACAAAGTGAATTGATGAGAAGAGTGAAACACAACATTTCAAAATGCACGTAACTAAAAAGTTATTTATAAAAACTGTCGGAAATGACCTCCGCGATGTTGAGTTGCACGTCTGATCATCTTCCGATCTTGTCGCAATTCATTTCCAACTTCGATTATTTTATTAATCAACTCCTCTCGTGAGTTTGGCACGTTCGCATAAACTCTTTGCTTCATAGTGCCCCATAGAAAAAAGTCTAAGGGAGTTAAATCCGGTGAACGCGAAGGCCAAGCGATCCTTCCATCGCGACCAATCCACGCCGAATAGCGCTCCCTTAAATAATTTCGCACATTTACTGCAAAATGTGCAGGTGCACCGTCAAGTTGGAGAATCATCCTTGCTCTGTGAGTTAATGGAAGCTCCATTAATTCTTCCAAAAACTGTGTTTGCAAAAACTCTAAAAATCTTGGGCCATTCATAGTTTCTGGTAAAATTATCGGCCCAATTAAAATATCGTCTTTTATTCCAGCCCAAACGTTCACTCGAATTTCATGTTGGAAAGTACTTTCTCTAAGAGCATGAGAGTTGTTTTGAAGCCACAGATGCTCGTTACGGTGATTTGTATAACCCGATCTCTTGAAAATGTAATATATATATATATTACATTTGGTTACGCGGAAACGATTATCCTTCCTTTGACCTCACATCCCTTCCGTACACACTGAAAGGGGAAAGTTACTCCCCAAGTCAAGCGTGCGTAAAGAAGTTTTACTTTAAAAATAATGAGCCAAGCCAACCAAAAGAAACTCGTACTTTTAGTTTAGAACGTGCTAACTGGTGATATACCACGTGCTTGGCGGTGATGGAAGACATCGTGAGGCAATCTGCATGTCGGAGATATTAAAATATTTCGAGGACATATGAAATCAGGCAACACATATAAGGGCAGCGCGGCGAACCCTTATCTACTCCAAAATCTTTTGACAGTTCCGTGGCGAAGTGGCTTAGGAATGAGAGCTGGGTTCGAATCCCGCACGAAACAAGTATTTGTATGGCCTCCAAATAATTGTTCCGGTTTAAGACGTTTGTCCTGGTGAAATTTATGTAGGTATGTAAACTGCCCCACGAAAATTCTAGTGTAGAGGTAACGTTCTTGTAAAAAAATTATCCCAGGAATGAAAAGAGGCATGTGCCCAGCGGTCAATAGGTAGGCTCCTGCTTTACTTTGGAACAATTTACACATACACTTACACTTACAATTAGCACATACCCACCTGCTAACTGTTTTCTTTTCTAACATAATATTATTACACGCCATGAAAACATTATGGAGGAACGTTGGGAAATGTCAATCAACTTACGACTTTACTAAAAAAATAAAGCGGGAAATATTGCAAAATATTTTAGTTTATGATAACCTTCAATCGACTAACTTTAAAGGAAGCAGTTCAAATAAACACTCGCATCTAATTAGAGCTGTGATTGTTAGCAAAACAAACGAAATGGGCACTGATAGTAACTAAATTTTGTTTATCAATTCAATTATATATAACATTTAATTATAATTGATGTTTTTAATGAATAAAGGCGGGCTTACATAATGTTTTCTTATATTTACGCGAACACTATACATTGATTAAAACTACTTTTACGGATTTTATCGCGTTTTATTTATTTTTAATACCCGACGTTTAACTAAACCCAAGCATACCACTGCAAGACTTCAAAACACAGTTAGTTCATTCTGCGTAGATCGGACCAAAGACAATAATTAAAAAGCTGAAGGTACTCCGGGTTAACTTTGACATCGGGACGTCAGTCACTTCAGTCCCCCGTGACCATGGGTGCTGGAAAGCACCCGAAACGTCGAGTATTAAAAATAAATAAAACGCGATAAAATCCGTAAAAGTAGTTTTAAGAGAAAAAGTAGTTTCAAGAATAAAGGCGGGTATAAAAACCTTGTAATATTATTAGACTTGCAACGAATAGTATATTCGGGCACACGCCGAGTACCGAATATTCTGCGTGCTTCCTGGCCGAATAGCCGAATATTTGGTAAAATTATTCGGCCGGGAAGAAGTACTGTTTTTTATTCCGAGCGTCTCGGATGTTGGGATTGTCTGCGAGGAGAAAATCAGTAAACTACTGCCTGAAAATGCAGAAAAATTAGTCTTTCTGCACTTTTCTTCCACTTTAATTACGAGAATTCAAGCGCACAGACATTTATCCGATAATTGATTATGTACCTGTGACTACTTTAATGATTGTAATAAAGATACATCATTATAAATTAAATCAATATTTTTATTTTACCAATTATCTGACTACAACAAAACGTCTCACTTGGGTATTCGATATTCGGCTGAATAGTATTCAGATATTCGGTATTCAACCGATAATAGTACCCATTGTGGTTATTTAATATTTACCTACGCGGTGCTACACAAATACGTGTAGTCAGACTTCACAACAACCCCTTGTCGTTCCTTTCATTATCAAGCATTTGATAAATTAGCATTTAAAATAGCAATTAACAATTTTACTGGTGTCGGCGGGTATTGAACCCGGCTGTTCGCGTACTGTAAAATTTACGGCGAATCAAAGTCCCTGGGCTACTACGGCTGATAAAAATCTGTACCTACGTAATTTTCTTAATATGAAACATAATACGTTGTAGAGCCAAGCTGCTACTATATTATCGTTGTAGCACGAATATGTCGGCTCGACCACTGCTGTGTTTCGTATAGTCAGTTTAGAGAACCGGAGACCCTTTTAACTGGAAACGAGGCATTCCATCTTAGTCCTCCCGAGGAGATAACTCATCTATATTTTGACTCTTAATCGAGGATAAATGTAGATGTCTTTGGGCCACAGCATCCACTTACCATTACTAGGACTGTGTGCTCGGTTGTCATCATATTCTATAAAAAGAAATGAACTACATCGCACGTTATAAGTATAAATTTAGGAACGCCTGTTTGAACAATTATTTTGACGCGAAATATTTTTTTTATTTTGATAGTTACTTTGATAGCAGAAAAAGTGGAAAAATAAACTTCATAAAAAAAGGTCAAACATTATTTAATAAATTTATTACCTACTCATTTTTAATTACAAATCCAGAGTACTAACGTTTTATCTGTTTACACCGGTAAGCAGCAGTACAACTACGCGTATTTAAGTTCTATTAAAGGACAGTACGCTGTCATAGGAAACTACTTACTCTTATTTATTTTGACATATGAACTTTGAGTACTAGTTGTGTTTAGTTTGTAATTAATGTGAGCGACAGTCAAACTGTATGAGGTGTTCAGACGGGGGTTCTCAAAGTTACGCGTGTCAGATTCCCCTGCTAAAAAAACATACCCCTCCCATCTACCATATTTCACTTTCCTACTATTGAGTATGGGGTATTATTATGAGAATTAAGTGACGGGACGAGCAGATGCCGACCTGATATTCAGCACTATCCTCTGCGTATAACAACAGCAATACGCAGTCGCATCGCTTTGTACCCATCGCTTGAGATTGAGAAAGGAAGGTGGAGACGTCTCAATATTATAAAAGTATTAATTATAAGGATGAAAAGTTTAATACGTAATTTGTTAACCTGCGTTCGCTCTGGAGGAATTGATCCAATTTTAAGTTCTTATATTTGACTCACATGCACGTTACTTTATTACACAGATGTCACTCATCTCTTTGAGCGACCCTAAGTACGAAGCATGCCCTCACTTAAAAACCGTTACTAAAGATATTACAACAGCTTTAAACTGTTATAATACTTGTATTAGTCGACGAATTTACGCATCACATCTAAGCTAAATATAACTTAATTAATTTGCTTTTTACGAGGTAGAGCCATGCTGCAGTTATATCAGTAGTATAGTTGTAGCACGAATGGGTCGGCTCGACCGGGGAAGGACCACTATCCATCCATACATTACAGCCTAGAAAAGTCTATACTACTTTACAGCCTATAAAAGTTTATACTACTAATACGCTGCAGTTAGCGTGGCTCTAAAAATTGTTATAATAATTTTCTCATTATTACGATTTATGTGGTGACAACGCATCTGCATTTTGATTCTTAATTAAGGATAGATGTAGATGTCTATAGGAGCTACAGATAAAATTCTGAGGACTAAGATGGAATGCCTCGCAGTCTGCAATTATGTTGGTTCTCTATACTCTTCGGACCGGAACAAAGCAGTGCGAGCTTGGTATTTAGTGACAGAAATAGATAAGTGACCTCTAGTCAGAAAAGAAGTCTTACCACCTATAAACAGTTAAATATTATAAGTAGATTGGTACTTACGTCTCTGAATTGTGCGATGCCAGCTTCCCCGAGCTCGTACATAGATATGTATGCCGCCTCGGGTTGGACGAAGAGTTGGCAGAGTACCATCTCCTCGCTTCTAAACATCGACCCCATGGCGGTGTCCTGAAGAAATGTTAAATTTTCAATTAATAATATGAGCTTATGATTTGTGTCATCTGTTGTGTTTATAATAGAATTTAAAAAAAAACTGATTAAAAAAACTTAATAGCAATAAAATATTTTTTAAATAATTTAACGGCTTCTAAACCCGTTTTAACACTGACTTAGCACCGATATTAAAATCTGTTTTACTTGGTTTTAAGTTTAATAATTTGACTAGACAATATCACAATATTAAAGTAGTATCAAGAATATTTCTTGTTTAAATCCGTCCATCGTTATGGTAGGCTTTTTAAAATTGGTTGGTGCTGCAGGCCATCCTTGGAACTTCCCGCTAATTTCAAATACAAAGCGCTCCAAATTTCACCAAATTATGTTGCGAAATCTCGAACTTATGTTAAAAAAAAAAACTTTTTTTAATTCGTTCTCCTTCGACATCTCACGAACGAATGAACCAATTTTTATTTTCCAAACGGCATTCGACCTCATTTTTTGAGGTGAAATTGATCGGTAAATCCGTTTAAAAATTATTCTAAAAAAACAGTTTTTCAAAATTTTTATTTTTGAGATTTCTCAAAATCTACTCGTCCGAATCAGTTCATATTATCACCAAAACTATTCCATATTGAGATCTTTAGAACGACGAAACAGCATCTCAATCGATCAAGACGTTCAAAAGTTATGAAAGGTTAACATGCACACGCACGCGCACACACACGCACGCGCACACACACACACGCACACACATGCACACGCACACACACACACACACACACACACACACACACACACACACACACACACGCGCACACGCACACGCACACGCACACGCACACGCACACGCACACGCACACGCGCACGCACGCACGCACGCACGCACGCACACGCACGCACGCACGCACGCACGCACGCACGCACGCACGCACGCACGCACGCACGCACGCACGCACGCACGCAGCACGCACGCACACGCACGCACGCACGCACGCACGCACACGCACGCACGCACGCACGCACGCACGCACGCACGCACGCACGCACACACACACATACATACGTACATCCGTACGGACGTCTACGTGAAATTAGAATACTTTCATGGGATCTCTTATTTTTAGCGGAAAGTTAAAAATCGAAATCAGTTCCCAATTATCCAAATATCGCATACGTACTTATATACGTAGCATATGTGCAAATAATATATAGTCGACTTGGCTTTCTCTTTTTTAAAGTTGGCTACTAAAAATTACTAATTAATAGAATCAGGCGTTACTTTGCGGAAATAGGTGTCATGTGATGATACTCTGCGGTGGCTAACCGCATACATCATTTGAAGATGCCTCGTGTAGAGGCGAAACACGTGTCGTATTATCGTCGATGGTGTGTCTTTCCTAGTGTAGTGGTGCTGGAATTCGTGGTGACAGGATTAGTACACGCAATTAAGGGAGGACAGGAGGCGCTCTTTAAACTTTAGCTTGTATATTTAGTAGACATCATTTTATTTTATTGAGCTGATGTGTGCGAATTACTTCTTAACGACTTTAAAAATTACTAAAATTTTTAAATATCAACTTTGTTTTGTTAGTAGTTATCGAAGACAAATAAGGACATAAAAGCTAATTTATCAGAAATTTTATGTCAGAGAATGTCCATGCTAGAGAAACGAACGGAATATGAACTACCGTTGGAAGAGGCGTTGGAGGGAAACTAAAAAATAAAATGAGCAGCAGTATCTGCCTGATGATAACTCAAAATATTAAGAAACTGTAGCTGCCAACCCAACTGTCACGAGTGGCAACTATGACAAACTTCTCCCCATTATAAAATCTATGGCAGTGTATGGCACCTATGTTCAGTGGTGGACGTTTATAGGCTGTTAAGGGTTATGGACTGCGGATTTTAAGCACCAGAATACACAAACTTAATGAAATGATGCACCGTTCAGTTAAGGGGAAATATAACCTCAAATGGCTTAGCAAGATCCTCCGTTATGCCGAAAATATTGCAGCATTAATTTTGAAATAAATATATGGTAAAGTTGAGAATTAATGTTAAGGACTATGTTAGACGAAAACACGATTCCGTAACATTTTCTCGATAGAAAAAAAAATCCAAAGTTACCTCTAAACTGAACAATAAACCGCTGTTATTCATAAAATACTTTAAATAAGATCATGAAACTTTGCATAATCACTGAACTAACTATAAAGCAGTGCTTATGTTATTTACTTTTTTTTTAAATACCATTATTTTCACTGTAAAAAGAAATTACCTAAACTATCGGCGCCTTGAAGCTTGATTCCTGATCCTGCTGCCCGGTCAGTTTCGCTTCGGCCTTTGAAGGGGGAGGTTGTGTCGCTTACGATCAGAATATACATTACGAAACAGGACTACTTAAAATTAAAATGGTAAAAAACCGTAATAAAAATAAGAAGCGACTGTGTTGGCGTTAAGAAACAGGAATAAATATAATAAACCTAATGAAATAAGTATCTAACGACCTATCTACTTACAGTATTAGTGATTATAAACCAGTCGGTACATAGCATACGACGCGCGGGGAAGTGGGGTCGAAATTAGAATTTGAGCTGACTTACTATATCCCTTTAATCTATCTTTATTATCCCATTTATCCGTCGTACGATATAAAAAGAGGTAAGCATAGGTGACAGAGGCACAGGGACAATTAGGTACATTTGCAATATTAAATCGATAGGCACTTTCAACTTGACGACTGTATATCGCATTGTCTGAGTTCTTTGCTGTGGCACTGCGTAGGTATATGTGGTATGAATTTTATTTTTTAATAATGTATTAATTTATTAGTCGCTTTTTACGATATACTAGGTAAGTATCGCAGTTGGCACAGTCTTTTTAACCGACTTATAAAAGGAGGAGGCTCTCAATTTGAGTGTATGTTTTTTTTGTATGTATGTTACGCGATATCTTCGCAGATTATGATCCGATTTTAATAAATCCTTTTTTTAAATAGGATTTATCTCAAAGGTCCCATTAAATTTTGAAGAAGAAAATTCCGCCCCAAGGGTGGGAAATAAATAATGTTTGATGTTGGACTATTGTTCAAGGAATTTCATATGATATCTTCGCAGATAAAGAACCGATTTTAATAATTCTTGTTTTCTTAAATAGGTTATACTTTAAAGGTCCCATACAAATTTGGAGAATAAAATTTCAAACCTAAGGGATGCAATTGCAAATAAATAACTTCTTTTTTAGCAATTTGAAGTCGGTTTTCACTTTTTGTTAAAAGTTATTATAATTTACATTTATTGTTATTTATGAACAATAATATATATTATTATTCACATTTAACAGCCTATTAATCTTAGACCAACATGGGATACACTACATAATGCTATTATGAAGAATTATTTATTCTTTTTAGCTTCTTAAAGTCTGTTTTTTATCACCTTTGCTAGACTGTGGAAAAACACAACCTCAACGTAACAAATAGAATGTCGTCTACAATTCAATATGTACTCGTATAAGTATCGGACCACCGCTGAAGTATGATGTCACAATTATCCCGGCTACCTTCAGCTTTTGAACATTCATTTTTGGTATCTTGAAGTCTTGCAGGGGTATGCTTGGGTTTGGATTTATTTTTATTAATTATAGGATTCTAAGCAGATGGTTGCATTCATTCATCTTCATTTAAAAAAATATTATAATTGGTTTACACTGGACGAAGATATAGTGCAATACACTTAGTCTGGCCATAAGTTCTGTTACAAGTGAAAATGCATTTTTTTAATAAATTAATGTAATATTACTAAAACTTATATGTACATATTCATTAGTCGCAGCAAAAAATAAAAACAATATTCTATTCAAAATGGCCACTTTTGGCTTTTATACAGGCCTTTTATCTGTCTGGAAACGAATCTATGAATTGCTTGCTCCCGAGATTTTTTAGGGACTCAATTTCGCCGTGTCGTTTAAAACCTGACCATAATTTGTAGTCTAAAGGGTTGAGGTCTGTGCTAGATGAGAGCCAGTATTGAGCTCATATAATGTCCGGAAAGTTGCTTTCAAGTCAGGCTTGTGTAGTTCGTGACTTGTGACCAGGTGCAGTCCTGCTGGAAAGTCCACGGTACAATTTTAAAAAGTGTATTGATGAGAGGTTTCACAACACGATCCAAGAAAGTCTCTTGATACACTTTGGTTGAAGTTTTCACTACTTTTTCACAAAAATGTAGTTTTGTGACGCCTTAATAAGACACGCCCCACCAAACCATCACTGATGCAGGATTATGACTACGTTGTACCTTCCTGACCACTTGAGCAGCTTCTTTAGAACTATGAGCGTCCTTTTTATCATTTTGCTTATTGTATATTGTAGTCGGTAAAGAGGATATTTCTGTGCCCTTCACCTGCGTATCGCGATAGAAGGCGTTTTGATCGATCCACTCTCTTTAATTGTAAAGGTTGATTTAGGGCATGTCCTGTACATCGACGATAAACACCGAGCTTCAGGTCTTGTTTTATAATACACGACAGAGTCCTAGCGGGAATCTTCATTTCTCGCGATAAGATTTTATGCTTCTTAATGGGATTTCGACGAATTCTGGCTTTAACAGCATTTTGACAACAGCCTTTGAAGTTCTAACAGCACGCGGCCGCCCCTTTTCTTTTATAGTCTTCGATAGAGGAAATGTTGTTATATGTGTTGATAGTACGATATACGAACATACGCCTGATACAAAGCTTTTGAAGTGTCTGGAATATGACCGATGGCTCCATACCCACTTTGTGCAAGGCGATCACCGCAACCTTATTTTCTTTAACACCCCATTACGTATTGTAATTTGATAAGGAACACGAAAAAATATGTGAAATGGCGCGAAATCGATAGAACTTTTAAAAATAATGAACGCCTTCCAATTTCAAAATAATTAAAAAGTTGAAAAAAAAAGAAAAGTTTTTATGTAACAGTATTTATGGCCAGAATTATACAGAAACCAGAAAGACGAATTGTGAAACTCTTCTTATATGAGGATTTTAGTGTTGTCCATACATGAAAGGTTTCGCGCAGTCATACATTTAGCCGTTCACTTTGAAAATGGCCAACGAGTCTATTTTAATTCCGACAACCTCGCCGTCAAAGTTAATAGTCCACCAAAAACGACACTGTTAGCATTTTTTTTATTAATATCAAACAGATGATTTTGCTAAAACACTTCTACTATATGCGGAAGTTATTTCATATTTTTTATGGCATAAATTTGTGAGAAGAAAAAGAGAAGCAGCTTTATACGAGTCGCCATTTAAAATGCCTGAACTTTTTTCTATAATGTTGGCATTCTGTCGGATTATATCGCACTAAGTCTTTGGGTAAAATATAGGGATAGCCTATCAGAAGACTACATACGACAAGTGCAAAACAACATCTATCAGATGAAATCCTCCCTCAATTGCGTACACTAATTCCGTCACCACCAATCCCAGCAACACTGCTCCCAACGCCACTACTCCTAACACCACTATTCTAGGAAGGACACACCATCGACGACAATACGACACGTGTTTCGCCTCTACACGAGGTATCTTCAGGTGATGTTGACTCTACGGCGACTGACCGCTAAACAGAGATTATTAACCGGTCGAGTTCCTGAATACACTGAAGCCTCGCGGTCTCCTAACTCACATATTAAAGTTGAAAGTTAGCGCGCCAATAATTTTCTGTGCAATATAAATCCACCAAAATTATGCAATGGCACCAGATTGCAAGTGAAAGCATTGAAACGCAATGTAATCGAGGCAACTATACTGGCAGATAGTTCTCGAGGAGTCTAAATTCACCTAACACCATCAAATTACCCCTTCGAATTCAAAAAAGTGCAGTTTCCTATCAGTCTGCTTCGCCATAACCATAAACAAAGCTCAAGGTCAAACTTTCAAGGTAGCGGGAGTTAACTTGAGAGAAACCTGCTTCTCCCACGGTCAGTTGTACGTGGTACGCTCCAGAGTAAGCGCACAAAGTAGCCTGGTGATTCTAGCACCCGAAGTAAAACCAAAAAATACTGTTTATACAGAAATACTGCGGTAGGTGCAGTATTTCGATTTCGTTGTAAAAAGATAATACCCCCGTGTCACTTTCAAGAGGTCAAAGGTCGAGCTTCGTTTTCATAAAATATAACAAATTTTTAATTTATTTTCACGTTTAATTAACCTTGAAATCCCTACACTGTAATAAATATTATTAGATTTTATAAGTATGAAAACACTTTAACATAATAATTTATATGTTATAACAAAATTAATAAGGTAAAAAACCTATTATAATCATTTCCTTCTATGCGGACGAAGTCGCGGGCAAAAGCTAGTTAACAATAAGCCACTTAGAAATAAAACAAGTTATTCTTAGAAATAAAACAAGTAATACAATATGCATTTATTCTCAACCATGTGTGAGCAGGCTTTATTATTTTTCTAAAACCAATGTGAATCATAAGGCGACACCGTGAAAAAATGCACCTCCTTTCATCGAATAGTATAAAGACTATGACACCACAAAGGAAAGTGAAATTTTGATATAGGTAAATTCATGTCTTTATCTTGAATTTGATTGTTCAAAAACACGACTGTATAATTTTGACTGGATCATAATTATTTGCGAAAACACCTCTAAAAATCACTATAGTTGAAATTACAACGAAATTACTTAATCTATATGCTTGGAAATCACTCAAATATATTCAAAACATAAATATTCATAATTTACTTGCTCATTATTTTGATTACTTAAATCAATAATTTTTAAAAAATTACTTTAACCGAGAATTTCTAAGCGCTGTTAATCGTCGCGGGCGCTACGTTATTTTTCGATGTGTCGTCTTAAATGATAATATACCAACAACGTCGCTTGACGTTCGCATCTACATACAATCGTAACACATATCCGTGTGTCATTGTCAACTTTTTATATCAAATATCGTTTTTTCGAAGCCTCTTAAAACATAGTAGGAAGCGAAAATAAAAATAAGCATGTGAGATTGGTAGTATTTATAAACATGATATTTTTTCTATTTTGAGCCTTAACAACAGTAGCGTAGCTCTGAGTGTGTAACCAAGGACCCCCGTGGTAAACTGAAATTGGGGCCATATTTAAACTAAACTAAATACATTGAATAAAACTATTTACTTATACAGATTTTATCGCGTTTAATTAACTTATTTTTAATTCCCGACGTATCGGGTGCTTTACAGCACCCATGGTCACGGGGGGGGGGGCTGAGATGTTTGACGTCCCAATACCAGTTTCTGAATAGTAATTCTTGGTCCGATCTACAATATTCAAAAACTGAAGGTAGCCGGGCTTAACTTATTTCTTGTTACTTTCTTTCTTTTTGTATTTAATATCATTGACTTCCACGTCAAAAATATTGGATAGATTTGGATGAAATTTTGCACACGGATAGAGCTTGACCCGGGTACAACATAGTAGAAGTACTTTTCATGTTGGTCCCAAGCGAACGAAATCGCGGGCAAAAGTAAGATTTTTGCAAGGTTCCGCCCTCGATTTCGCTATACAATGACGGAAGTAGATTACAGTCAATAATTATAAGTAGACAATAAAACGACAATTTTATTGTGTTTATTTGCGAGATTTTATTTTAATTTCAGTTTGAGCCGTTCGAGATTTGTAATTTAGTAATTTTTTCGAACGTCTAAAATGGATGCTGAGGGGTTTCTTGAGCTTGGGGCTGCCCCACCCTAGCCCTATGGTAGCTACGCAACTGTTTTACAACCTCAAGTCATAATCACCAACATTTGTTGAACTATTGTAGTTTCGTATAACTTAACGTAACATAAGGTGGAAAACTATTTAGAAATATTCCCAAGCCCACTTAAAGAGTAAGAAAATGGACATTGACATTCTTTTCTTTGTTTCTTGAATTTCACTTTTACTTTTTATTGCAGGTGTAGTGTAGAGTAGCCCACACGACTTATATACTATAAATGTTAATAGTAGTATGTTAACAGTAGTCTAATTAAAGTCTTGGACAATTATTTTTTCTGTTGTATCATTATTCTATAGTACCAACCATACGCCTCTCATTTAACACCTTCCAACATTACATGGCGACTCTGCCAGGATGGAAAATAAGTAATGGTTAACCAAGAACGACGTAAATACTTAAATATATCAAGTAAAAAAGAAATAAAATAAAGTATTCAAATGTGAATAACATATGAAAATGAATATTATTGTCCGGACTAGACAAGTGGTATAATGACCGTGATTTAAGAGATTGAAGTGACTAAGTACAAAATGCGCCACATCTTTATTACGAACACAAAAAACTTTATAAGGAAATATGTAATCGTATGAAAACGTATAATACTAATAGACCGTTACAAAACTATGTACAAATAACAAGATTATGACATCGAAGTTACTATGGTAAAAGGGGATCTGATCGGACCTACCCATAGAATATACCTGTTTTGATAGTTTGAAAATGGACATAAGTTTAAAATATATTTTTATAAGTTAAAAAAACCAAATGTAATCATTTCTTTTTTATATTTTTTATGTCGGTGGGAGGTGTAGTGTAGAAGCCCACACCACTTATATATTAATTTCAATTGTAGTTATTAACAGTAGTATAATTAAAGTCTTAGTACCAACAACACCCCTCTCATGTCATACCTTCCAACATTTAATTTTATATCATTTTAATTTCAACGTTTTATTTAGTTCGTATAAAAGACACATTGTGCTGTGCATTTTTCGTAACTTGTGTGCGTGTGTATATCGTTAATGGCGCGGGGAATGATTAATGTTTTCGAACGATAGCTTTGACAGGTACCGTGAAAAGGTCTCGGTCAGGGTTATTGCTTCATGTGTAAGAGCGAGGCCGTGCGCTGTTTTGCCGCGACAGCGCTTTTTTTACTTAGTTATATAATCATTTCAGGTTACAGAGACCCACGCATAGACAAACAGATATATTTACGGTTACAACCTACAACAAGTCTACCGCAGAACAAAGCCATAGATTTCTTCATAGGGGGATGTCTGCTATATTTATTTATTTATTCTTTATTGAATTCCTTATAACAAAAGAATACAAAGGCTGGACTCAATGCCTTGAGGCATTATCTACTCTACCAGTCAACCGTCAAATGTTTTCTTTTTCAAATTTTTTTTCATGAATTAATTATTAATTAAACTAGGAACCTTCTTAACTTCTAAATATGAACAGTTATATCGCTGTAAATAGAAATCCAGTTAACTAAAAAAAGAATATGCACACAAACAGATTCGTAAATATTGTTTTTTTTATGGAATAATGGTGAATTACTAGCACACAGTCCTAATGATGGTAAGTGTTGCCACCCCCGTAGACTAAGATGTAATACCTCTTTCCAGTAAAAAGCTCTCCGGTTCTCTAAACTCACCGTACGAAACACAGCAACATTAAGTTGCTATACAGTTTTTGAAAAAAAAAAATATTTGCCCAGTATTTGGGTGGAAACAGGGGAATACGGGTGATGATTTTGTTAAAGATATAACCAGTCCAGGCTCCTATCGAAGTGGTTGGTTGTTTTTATTGATGAAGTCAAATTAAGCTTCTGCTTGTGCTTGATCCTGTTCTTCCTTTCTGCCAGGGTCAACTTGCGCTTATTCCACCTCTTCTGCTTAACAATCTCCTTCTTAGATTCCTTCTTCTTATAAGATGGATCAGCACGTATTGCTTCATGCGCTTTTTTGTAGATGGTTTCAATCGCATCAGCACTGACACCAAGCTTTATGTATTTGCTAAATTGCCTCTTGAATGAGTCCTCATCTTCTTGTTCAAGGTTGCGCATATATTCAGCAACATGTAGGCCAAATATGTGTCCCCTGTGTACTTCTGCATTAAACTTTTTAGCTTCTGCATCATATCCAGGGAACCTCTTAATTGAGTGTGTAACATTAAGACCTCCATCAACTGTACCTTTCATGGCCCCAAATACACGGGCTTCGGTTGACGTGCGAGCAAGACCCACATCTAGGAAACATCTAAAAGCTCCAGCTCCAGGCCCATTATCAACTGGTTCTACATTGTATTCATCACCAGTCACTTCAGTTGCACCAGTATAAAGAGAGTCAAGCGTCTGGCCAGCAGTAATCCAGTACAGTATGCGGCAGCATAGTTAGTAAGACCTACTTTCACACCATACTGAGGAAGTTCATGTGAGTATGCTGCACAAACAATGTGATCACCTTCAATACGTGAATAGGCAACTTGACATGTAACATCTTTGTTGGATAGACGTACAATAAGACGATACTTGGGTATATTATATTTGTTCTTGTCCTGAACAACGAGGCGTTTGCGGGCGTAGTAGTCAGTTTTACCTTCTCGGTGCCTCTTGAATTTGACTTGGTACCTTTTAAAGTACTGCTTGTTCTTGATTACTTTCACGAAACTCATTGTATAAAAATTCGTAAAATTCTTGCGACTTGGTTACCCTCCGAAGGAGATAACAGGAGGTCATCTGTTTCGATTGTCTAGAGCTCGGTTGCTCGGACATAGCGCAACCATAGGTCGTTAAAACCTGTCCTTCAAATATCTTACAGATCAGATTTACCTTAACCGCCCTTATCCATTAACCCTTAACCATTAAACTCAAGTCACTTAAAATAAAAGTAAAGATATCCAGCAGAGGTGACATGTTTTCTACGCAATTAGAAACAGTACTGATCCGAGTGAATACATAATTTCTATAAAAACTTCGTCATAAGGTCTAAAATTGCGTAGCGCCCGCGATGATTAAAAGCGCTTAGAAATTGTCAGAATCTTAAAATATTTTTTAAAAAATTATTGATTTAAGTTATCAAAATAATGAGCAAGTAAATTATGAATATTGATGTTATGAATATATTTGAGTAATTCCCAAGCATAGATCAAATGATTTCGTTGTAATTTCAACTATAGTGATTTTTAGAGGTGTTTTCGCAAATAATTACGATCGAGTCTAAATTACACAATCGTGTTTTTGAGCAATCAAATTTAAGATAAAGACATGAATTTACCTATATCAAAATCTCACTTTCGTTAGTGGTGTCATAGTCCTATACTATTCGATGAAAGGAGGAGCATTTTCACGGTGTCGCCTTAAGAATCAAAATGCAGATGCGTTGTCACCCCTGAGGACTGAGATGAAATGCCTCGATCCCAGTATTAAGCTGCTATTTTACGCTGGTTTTCGAACGAGGTCAATATGAATAATTCCCGGGTAATATGAATAATTACTAATGTAATTATGAAAATATAAATGTAATTAATACTGATTTAAACTTCAAACTTTATTATTTATCACGTTGTCTAGTCATGATCTAACCAAACCTAACTTTTTAATACTCTGACCACTAACGGACTTTATTCCCAAAGCACGGTTATTTAATTATTCCTATAACTTTTATCATATTGAAGTTTTAGAACTGGCCACTTGTGACGATATAATATAAAAATAAGTTCAAATTTTGAAAATGGAACTCTTTCTTATTGGGTGCGTTTGGCAGAAAAAAGCGCTAGCAAGCGCTTATAAGCGCTGAAATAGTTTTCGGCCAGGACACGATTGCTACTTCAGTAACGCTGACACAATCCGCCATTTTGCTTATTTAATTTGTTTGTTTTGAAGTAGAGTTTATAAGTTGTTTTGTGCAATATTAGTTTTAAGTAATATAATGACATGAATAAACATAGACATGTTAATAAAAATTCATGATTGTTAAGTTTTTAATATGAATACTTTACAAACATATATTTAAATTAGGTTAGGTTCCCCGGTTAAAACTAACATCGTGTCCTGGAGGAAAATAGCTACTTACGATTTGACAACGCTTACCGCTTACGATCGCCATTTTGCTTACAAGCGCTTGCTAGTGCTTTTTTCTGCCAAACGCACCCATTGTGTACGTATTTTATTAATTTGTTAATTGTTTACGAATTGGCGGCAAATTGAAAATGTTTGTGTCACGTCAGCATGAACTTAACGCGAGAAAATTCTTACAATGATTTTTTTAACTTTCGATGTCATTTAAGTCAACAAAAAAAATTATTATAGACTTCGATTGGCCTATCATGATGAAGCACCATCTCGTGCAATTGTTTACAACTGGTTTAATGAGTTTAAATGTGGTCGCACTAATCTCGCCGATGATCTGCGATGGACGGCCTTCTACGACGATGACTGGAGATAATATCAGTGTTGTGCGGCGTATGACAGAAACTGACAAAAGAGTGACTTATCAGCAGATTCGGACAAGCTTAGGCATCGGTATGAGTCAAGTGCACAAAATCCTCGACTACTTGGCGACGTCAGACGTGGAATTAATGGGTCACCCACCCTATAGCCCCGACCTCGCACCTTGTGATTTTTATTTATTTCCGAAAATGAAAGAAAAACTTCGATGAAAACATTTTATGGACGCCGAGGAAGCAGTGGCTGCGTTTCAAAATGCCGTCGAAGAGACCTCTAGGGACGAGTGGGCAAAGTGCTTTTCGCAGTGGTTCCATCGGATGCAGCGATGTATTGATGTAAATGGACACTATTTTGAAAAGATATACTTATAACTTGCTAGTTTGTTCAGTTTTTGATTTTCTAAGAACTTTCATTGTCACCCTCGTATAAGACAGGAGCGCTCAGTTCGAAGGCACGTGCAGAATGAACGATGATATTCGAGGCTCGTCCTCGCTGCGTCATCAAACCGGTACACATATGCTATATGAATCTAAAATCATTTGCAATCAACAACATCGATATATCGAGGATTTACTGGTTAAACCAGTTACCTATATGCAATTTTATTACAATACACTTCGGCTCTTTTTCTTTTTTCTTAGTTTTCTGGTAAAGCAGATTATTTGATACGATCATTATTTACGGAGATATTTCGTGTTAATACCGTGTATCAGCATAGTAAGCTTAATAAATATCCACGTAAAACAATATAAAGTATTGGTTGAAGTTATTTTATTATTCTTACTATGGAAACATACAATTCCTTAACTTATGTAACTGTTAAACTAAGTTCCAAAATGCGTACTTGACGAATTGCTTGCGGACTTTAATTGTTTTTACTAGAAACTGGTCACATAGTATTATTTACCATTCTTTAGTAGGAAAAACCGAATAAGTGGTCCTAATCGTTGAGCTTATTTGTTTCCCTTCATATAAGTGTTTATAACTGCATCTATAATGTATCTATAAGAATATAAATGCAAAAATTATTACTAAGTAAAGGAAGAACATGTATCACAAGAATAATTAGAGTAGTTTGTTTTATGAGATAGAACAAAGAGATATAGCAGTTTGCTGATTTGATAGAGAAGGAGGAATCTGTTTTTATAACGAACTCTCTTTCAGGAGTATACCCACAGAAAGTGGACCTGTTCTAGTCCCGACTTTTAACGAAAAATGAGATTCACTTCATAATGACTACTAGACGCCAACAGTTTTCCGACGTCTTAGTAATCGTGGGAGAGAAAACTTGTAGAGAACACCGAATGATGTGAAGCACCTGAGAATTTAATTGAAATCATTAGGTTGTAAGGACAGTTGTAGGTACACACCATCATTAGGCGAACACGTAATTGTGAGTAATGGTTCAAGAACTGTCTGTTTCCATCCAGGGCGTTAGTCTAAGCAAGATTAGAATGACTCTTCAGCACATTAAAAATGGCAAGACCCCGAGTGGGAATAGAATTAAGGCGCAATTTATAAAAGTGGGTGAAAAAACGGTGCTTGAAGTCCCTCAAAAGCTTTTCAATTCCATCTTCCATGAAGGCACTATAGAGACCGACGTACTTCTAGATATTCTGGAGGAGTGAAGCACAAATGCAGTAGTCTCATGGTTAAAAAGGACAACAACGCCCTATTGAAGAACTACAAACCGATTATTCCTCTCAGCTGCTTCTATGTGCTATATTCTAGAGACATTACAAATTATCTTACACGCGAAATTGACAATTTCCAGCCTATCCAACATGCCGGTTTTCGAAATGGACATAGTATCATAGACCACATACATATTCTTCGGTAAATTGTACAGAATACCTAATAGTACAATCTGCCACTTTGTCTTACGTAAAGAGACTATGAGAAAGTCTTGGTTCCGATGAAATTCGGGCGGTGTTACAGTACTTCAGCGACGCTAAGTCGATTGTCGGCATATCGAAGCTAAAATTTCTATACAGTAGGGCTACGATGGCGATGTGAACACTGAACCAGAGCACGAAACTAGACATGTGTCAATCATGAATGATTTGTTCGTTTGAGCTGGTACACTTAAAATTATTGATGGTTCATTCATCTGTTTTTAAATGTTCCGGTACAACCAATCACAAACAATTGACGGAACCCTTTTATCTCGTGATTGGTGTGATTTGTGAATGAGTCGAAAACCGAACGAATCCCGAATGATCTGAATGAATTGCTTTTAGTGTATGGTACTGTAGTGCGAAACGATCCATTAGAATGATGGATTCGAATGTACCGGTACGCGTGAGGAAATGTACTAGAGTGATTCGGTCACGAGAAATGAATGATTGACAAATATCTACACGAAACTTATTCAATTCTGCAGAAAGATAAGACAGGGTGACGTTATATCACCAAAATTTTACTGCATTAGAAGACGTTTTCAAGCTACTGGACTAAATATGATACGATATCAACATCAATGGCAAACCCTCTTTGATTTGCCGATGATAGGCATTATGTCCAGGCACAGGTCTGCCTTGGCAGAATTGCTGGTGGGCCTAGGAACCTAGGAGGAAGGCAGTGCTGGGGGACCTAAGCACTATTATCAATGATCTCTATAGTTTTTCCCAACGCATTGGTCTTAAAATGACCATGGACAAGACAAAGGCCATTTGTAATAACCGTATCTTATGCTTACGTTCTTACTTATGCTGTTGTTGGGAGAATTTAGCTTAAAGTTGATGTCATGCATGTTAATCTAGGACAAATTGATAGACTAGGTAAGTCAAACTTCGACCGAGAGGTCAATCGACAGATGCAACTCGGCGAGCCAGCATTCGTGAGATAATGTAAATAATTCTCAAAACTTGGAAACGTGGAGAGTGTAGTGCGTATTGCCAGTGATATTAGACACAACATATATCTTAGACGTGGTGCTTTTGGAAGCGGTTTTCTAAAACATTGGATTTATTTTTTGTCGACGGTTTGTTGACTCCATGAAGAATATAATATTAGTTGTATAAAATTTACAAAGCCATAAACATTTTTTGCTATAAATATAAGGATTATAAACTAAACGGATCTCAGAATAGGCATAAATTGACGTAACGGAGGTGGTCATTGAGCGAAATAGTTCAAAGAGCTACACGAACAGGGTCAGAGACCTCACATACAATATGCGGTCAATTTATTCATTGAAGTACTACACTACTGCTGGTAACCGGTT